CAAAGATCAAATTCGGCAATTTGTTATGTCGCTTGTGCGGTTAAGCGAGCAAAAACACGAAAATGCGTTCAGTGGTGGAGCAGCTGGCGCTGGATATCGCGTAACGTTAAAGCTAGGTTCAAGTGGACCTGTTGGCGAGGCACTGAAAACTCTTTTCTTTGTGCCTTCTGCACAAAGCACTACGGGCACTAGGTAAACTTCGTTATAGTACTTGTAACATATGTATAATGTTTCTGCAAATGCTATGAAAACATACGTTTATTTACAGAGCTAAACCTGCAAAGAGGACGCTTGAAGAGGTCCTTGTTGGTGACGAGGATATGCCATATCGGAGGTAAGCCGCCCTCTAAGATACATTTTCAAATTTTTTGTTTATTCATACAAATGGTTTCTCGAATTGGAAAATATAGGTGAATTCAAAAGACAGTTTTTTGTTTTTTTTGCAGCCCTAAGTTTTTAACTGGAAGAACAGCGATTTCATTCCAGCAAAAAAAAGAAAAATTTTTTAAAAATCTGAAAAAAAAGTATTGGGATTCAAAATCTATGCATATATTCCCCAGATTTAGATATTTTAGCCTTCTGGGAGGTGTAGTTTCAAAATTATCAGCGTTTCTGTCAATTCTGATTCCCGAAAATGCAGAACGAATTAAGGGGTGAGAAAGCTCTGAGAGTATTTTCGAACTGAGTGGTCCTTCGAGCCGCTCAATAACAAATATTTGCTGAGTAGAAATGTGCAAAAAGTGGATATTCGCGGCGGGCTCACGGTGTGCTCTAATATTTATTCAAATGCAACATCAACTGTAGGAGGCAGTATGTAGTGCGTTGTTTTGCTCGTCGACCTACACGTGGATCAAGAGTATTACCACAGCGCTTATATGGCTCAGTATCGAAGGAGGAGTACAGGATCTGCTTGGCGCTTTCAAATGATACTCGTTTCTTCTGAATTATTGTTGCTATTATATTGTATTTTTGTAGTTGTTAATGAACTGTTTGTTTATTTTGTGCTGTGCCTTTTTGTTCTGCCGCTTTTGTGAAATGGTTTTTCTTTTTTGTGCTTCAGTGCATTGGTCAAAAATATCGGTTATTTTGGGTAAGCAATCTCATGTTGCACTGCAAATCCACT